CTCTGATGAATCAATTATTGTATTGACTGGAGCTGGATTGTCCACTAGGTAGGTTTATTCATTATTATTATCCTTATTATTGATTGTTAATATTATTATCATCATCATTATACTTGGTATAATATTCAATGATTCAATTGTAATATTTAAATATTATTAATGATAATAATTGGATAGTGCTGGAATTCCTGATTTTAGAACTCCTGGAACTGGATTGTATGATAATTTACAAAAGTATAATTTGCCTCATCCAACAGCCATTTTCGAATTGAAATATCTTCCAACTAATCCTCATCCATTCTTCCATTTGAGTAGAGATTTCATTTCTTCTGGATATAAACCAACTAAAGCTCACTACTTTATCAAATTGTTGGAAGAAAAGAACAAGTTGAAGAGATTATATACTCAAAATATTGATGGTTTGGAAGCCAAGTCAGGTAGGTTTGTCAATATTACAGAATATTTATTGTGACAATTTTTAATCATTTAAAGGAATTACAAAGGAGCACTTGGTAAATTGTCACGGAATGTACGATATTGGTCACTGTATTGAATGTTCAAAGGAATATTCATTGTCTGAAATTGTAAAAAAGATGGGAACTGATGAAGAAGTCCAAATTCCAAAGTGTGACAAGTGTGGACATATTGTCAAACCAGATATTGTCTTGTTCGGAGAGTCATTACCTAACAAGTACGTAGATTGTTGCAAATCAGATTTGCTTCGTTCCAAGGATTGTGAAGTCTTCATTGTCATTGGTACTTCCTTGTCAGTCTAGTAAGTAATTGAATTATTTTGTTATTGACCTAATAATTGTAAAAATAGTCCTGTTGCTGGTTTACCAGAATATGCTCCAGAAGGATCAACACGTGCTCTTCTTAATCGTGAAAAATGTGGACCTTTCAGTAAGGTGAAGGGAAATGTTGCTGAAGTTGGAGATGATTCAGATTATTTGGATTTGTTCCTTGGTGGAGAGGATTCATCCATTGATGAATGTGTTGAAAAATTATGTAAATTATTAGGATGGGAAGCTGAATTGGAGGAATTATATGTTAAAGGACCAGTCGATCTCGTAGAATTGAGTAAGAAATAAATACAACAATTAACTTCATCTGTCTCTCTACTTTTTCATGTACTGAATAGGTTGGAATGGCAAACATTCAATGAGCTAGCTGTTAAAACACTACAAAGAAAAATACATAGAGAGAAACAATTGCATTTATCATGCAGAGAATCCCATAAATACAAGAATTGACTTCCTTTGAACTTGGCAGAACATTTTTGAAAATTATTAGTGAAAGGGCGAGATCTGAAAATCAAGTTAAAAAAAATGGTGTTTCGTCTCTTCTCAAAGATTCGAACGGTTGATGCTAATGATGACCTTTCAACTGTTTCAGAACAACACAAAGAAGAATCTAACGTTCCAGTTCCAGTGGTAGTTTCTGATAGAGTTTCACCATTAAAAATTACACAACATTCTCTCAAACTATTAGAAAAAGTAAATAGGGATGAATTATTAATTGTTGGATGTTTTCTAAATACTTCCGAGCTAGCAAATCTTGCTTCATGTAATCAACAATTACTGGAATTTTTCTTTAATTT